GTATTCATCCGCTTACAAAAATGCGGTTAATGACATTTACTGTCCACACAGGAAAAGTTGTGCCGAGCAACAACCTAATCCACAGAAGGGTTAATGCTGAGCAGCAAATATGCAAATGGGAACCTGGTAACTGACTTTGGGGTCAAAGGCCGGTTACAGCCTATCAGATCTAGAGGAGGGGTATTTAGGCCCAGTTCTCAGCCTGCTCAGTGCCCTGTCGTGGTTTCCCTTGTGGTTGTCCGAGAGCGTGTTATTTATTTTTGTTATTCTGGTTATTTGACTCTGGCATTGTTTTTGACTTCCCTGTTTTCTGGCATCCCTGACCCCTGGCTTTTCCTTATCATTGTGTCTCTTTCTGTATCCCTTGACCTCGGCTATTCCTGACTATTCTTTGGTACGTTAGTCCGGCCATTCTAAGGTCCGGTATACGTTACCTATCATACCTCTGTATTACACAATTCTATGTGCTGGATCATTCTGTAATCCTGACACTAATCACTGTTTGCCCATGTCAAGTTACTTAGTGGTTGTCTGTCTGATATTTCAGAAAGTGACTTTTTCATTTGAAAGGCTACAGAAGCAGCATGTACATAGGCGTGCGCACGGGGTGTGCGAGGTGTGCCTGGGCACACCCTAATCCCCGCGCACGCCTATGTATAGTGAGACCGGCAGGGGAGATCTCAGGATCTCCCCTGTCGGCTCATGCAGAGCCGGCGCTATCCGAGCGCCGGCTCTGCTCTCAGCCTCCCTCCCCACTGACCCGCATGCAGGGAGGGAGGCAGGAGAGGACCCGGCGGAGCTCTTGCCGGCAGCTCCGCCGGGTTCCTCTTGCGAGATATGAGCGTTGCCACGGCAACGCTCAAATCTCGCGAGAGTGAACTCTAGCCCCACACTCTCCACTGGACCACCAGGGATGGAATCAGCAGCACGATCCCCCCTCCCAGGCGTAAGGTAAGAAGGGAGGGGGGATATCAAGGAATGTACCCCCACCTCCTCCCCCACAATCACCCACACACATACAGCACACACAGACATACACAGCACCCAGACATACAGCACCCACACACATACAGCACCCACAGACATACACATCACCTACATACATAGCACCCAGACATACAGCACCCACAGACATACACAGCACCCACAGACATACACATCACCTACATACATAGCACCCAGACATACAGCACCCACAGACATACACAGCACCTACATACATAGCACCCAGACATACAGCACCCACAGACATACACATCACCTACATCCATAGCACCCAGACATACAGCACCCACAGACATACACAGCACCCACAGACAAACACATCACCTACATACATTCACAGCACCCACAGACATACAGCACCCACAGACATACACAGCACCCACACACATACAGCACCCACACACATACACAGCACCCACACACATACACAGCACCCAGACACATACACAGCACCCACACACATACAGCACACACAGACATACACAGCACCCAGACATACAGCACCCACAGACATACACATCACCTACATACATAGCACCCAGACATACAGCACCCACAGACACATACAGCACCCACACACATACAGCACCCACACACATACAGCACCAACACACATACAGCACCCACAGACATACACAGCACCCACACACATACAGAACCCACACACATACAGCACCCACACACATACACAGCACCAACACACATACAGCACCCACAGACATACACAGCACCTACACACATACAGCACCTACACACATAAAGCACCCACAGACATACACATCACCTACACACACACAGCACCCATACACATACAGCACCCACACACATACACAGAACCAACACACACACAGCACCCATACACATACAGCACCCACAGACATACACAGCACCTACACACATACAGCACCTACACACATAAAGCACCCACAGACATACACATCACCTACACACGCACAGCACCCATACACATACAGCACCCACACACATACACAGCACCCACACACATATACAGCACCAACACACATACAGCACCGACACACATACA